AAATATATATTCATGCACACTGTAAAAAGTCTGCAGCCATCTTAGCAGGTTTGGCTTGCTACCGCCCCCTTCTGCTCCAGCGCCCCCACGCCGCCCCTTTTCGTTCTACCGCCCCCCTGAAAAATGAAATCGCCCCCTGGGGGGCATTATCGCCCACGTTAAGAAACACTGAACTAGACCATGATAAACAGGGTCGCTTTGAGCTGTGGCATGTCATTTGAAGCAATCCTTGCACCCACAGGAAAGGATCGGGTGGTCTGGCGACAGGAAATCGCACTGCACCTTAAATGATCCTATTTGGTCCTTCCTCCCTTTAAAGAGAAAGGCAAAAAGAAAGAGAGAGAAATCGCCCTCTTTGTTCTCTCTTGCCTTCTAGTTTGTGGGGGAGCAGAAGGAAGCCTTCAATTTAAAAACATCTAAGTAGCATGGCACATCAGTGCTGCCCCAGAAGGACTTAAAAATGTTCCATTTTCTCTCTCCTTTGCCAAGGGGAGTTGGAGGATGCTTTCAATTTCTCAAGATGATGATGAAGCAGCTTGAGCAGACAGCTTTAATTCGTCCATTTTGGTTTGTTCCCGGTGATCACAAATGCTGGAACCAAACCAAAGCACAGCAATCTTACCTGCAGCCAAAGAGTAGCCCCTGTCAGAAACCCAAAAAGGTGTGCATGGATTAGGAACAGGATAGTTTGCAGTGATCTGTACGTCATACAGTCTCTGGAAAAAGGAGGCAACCAGCTTGCCCCCATATTAGACGAAACTGCAGGACAAACGTCCATCTAGTCACACTCTAAATGTACATGATTTGATGTATGGCCATAACAGAGGTTTATATTTTGTACTGCTTTGGGATACTCTGGCATTACTCTTTTGCTGTGCCCCTACAGCTGCAGTAGCCATAGTGGTTTGAAATAAACAACCTACCTTTTAACTTTATGTGGAGATTTCTTCCACTATCTGCTGTCATGAGGACATGGTGCTTTGTGGCGGCTCGCTCTTCAGAGGAACATGGCTTCAGCCTGCTCTGGGTGAGCTTTCCTCTTCTCCAGCCTCTCTTCACTGAGGAGTGAGCCTCTGGCACAGAGGTGTGGAAGGTTGAATCACCAACCAGTTGTGTTTTTTTTTTACTTTTCCATGATTATTACAGTAGGTTTTTTTAAAAAATTGGGTCACATTGACCCACATCTGTCTGTAGGCCTGTCTTTGCATCAATATTCCAGTTGTCTAGTCCATTGGTTCTTAACCTTGGGTTACTCAGGAGTTTTGGACTGCAACTCCCAGAAGCCTTCACCACCAACTGTGCTGGCTGGGGTTTCTGGGAGTTGCAGTTCAAAAACATCCGAGTAACAAAGGTTAAGAACCACTGGTCTAGTCCCATTGAACCAAAGCACAGGAAAACGGACTGTCTTGTGCTCTGAAAATCAAGCAGCCACACCACCCTGTTAGCTAGAGGCAAGCGGCTATCACCAAACAGGGTTTGGTAGACCAAGTGTTGTTTCTGTCTGGAAACAGAATTCAGAGTTGAGCGCCCTACTCTCTGTGTTGCCTGCTTCTGTATTTCAAACAGGAAATAGTCTGCCTTTTTTCTTAGTTTCCCCACCTTACAGTCCTCAGACTGACTACGAGAAATAAAGGTTTATGCTTGCTAAAATATTCAGATCAGGATCGTGGGACTGTGCTATTTAATCAAAGCAAAAGCAAAGTGGGCTGCTTCCATACTGCCCCATAGCACTTAAAGCACTCTCTGGGCAGTTTACAATTTAATTATGCACATATACATTCTCTCCCCCCCCCAGCAAACTGCGGGCTCGAGCCAGCTACCTGGGATTGAACCCAGGTTGTGAGCAGAGTTTTGAGTGCAGTACTGCAGTTTAACCACTGTGCCACGAGGTTCCTCCCATTGAAAGTGGCCACTGCATCACCTAGCCAAGATTTGCTGCTGTTCTTGTTTTTGCTACCTTGAAATAAATGAACTTAGCCATTGCTACTGACAAGATTAAGATTAATCAAGGCTGAAAGGAAAAAGGTTTTTAATCTTTGCTGCTGTGAGTTTCTTGGTAAATATTTTCTCTGTGTTAATTTCAAAAAAATGATCAGAAAGGAGCAGCTGCTCTCTTGATGGAAAGGTCTCAAGTATCCTTGGGTACTGGCTGGCTCCCTGCAGTGTTTGGCAGAAAGACTCTGCTGAATTTGTCTGCTTGATTTCCAAAATATACGGAAGTTATATACTGAAAATAATATTTGACAATGTCACCCTCTGTTTATGCTGCTACCTTATTATAGAAGTTGATTCCCATTATTTTGATCCTCATACAGTGGTGCCTCGCACAACGACCGGCCCGTAGAGCAATGAATTCGCTCTACAGGGACATTTTTTCCATCGCTAATGCGATCGCAGAGCGACAGCCCCAATGGGCGAAAATCGCAGAGCGAAGGTCAGTAAGCGGTTCGCTTACCGACCTTCGCTTTGCGACCCGCCGATCAGCTGTTCCACAGCTACAAAATGGCCGCCGGAAGCCCCAAAATGGCCACGCGCAGCGTTTTCGCGCCCTCGTTAAGCGAGGGGAGGGCGCGAAAATGGCTGCCGGCCATAGAGGAACATCGCTGCACGGTGAGTAAATCAGCCGATTGGAACACATTAAACTAAGTTTAATGCATTCCAATAGCTTTTTTCTTTCCGTACAGCGATGTTTCACACAGCGAGGGTTAATCCGGAACAGATTAACCTCGCTGTGCGAGGCACCACTGTAGTTGCTTTGACTCACAATCCTTGTGGATGATTCCTGCCTGTGTCATGACTATGAAGCTTGGAGAACACGTTATGTCTTCTGTTCCCTGTGTCTTGTGGCTGAAAGGACATAGATCAAAGAAGAGTCATAGAATAATGGGGTCAGAAGGGACCTATGAGGCCATCAAGTCCAACCCCCTGGTCAATGCAGGAATCCAGATCAAAGCAGATCTGATAGATGGTTGTCCAATTTCCCCTTGAACGCCTCCAGTGTTGGAGTGCTCACCACCTCCCTTGTCATACTGCTCTAACAGTTAAGAAGTTTTTTCCTGATGTTCAGCCTAAATCTGGCTTCCTGTGGGCTTGAGCCTGTCATGACATGACCTGAACTCTGGGATGACCGAGAACAGATTCTGCCCCTTCTCTGTATGACGGTCTCTCAAGTCTTTGAAAGGAGATATCCTATCTCCCCTCAGTCTTCTCTTCTCAAAGCTAAACATGCCCAGTTTTTCCAATCTTTTCCTCATCATCATTGCTGTTCATTGTGGAGAGACTGGAAAACAACACCCCAAGCGGTGCTGACAACATGTGGAACGTGTCTTAGAGGTCAACAAGAACAGTAAGAAGTAGGAAACCAAGTCTTATGACAGAAGCCTGAGGGAGCCTGGCATGTTTAGCCTAGCGAACAGAGGGATAAGAGGTGAGCAGACCGCCACCTTCAATTATCTGAAGGGCTGTCAAGTGGGAGAGGGAGCAAGCTTGGATTTCTGCAGCTCAGGGAGGTTGAAATGGAAGTAATCGATTCAAATTAGAAGTAAGAAATTACAACTAAATATTAGGAAGAACTTCCTAACAGCATGAGTCTTTCAGTTGTGGAATTAACAGTCTTGGAGACTGGCCTGGTTCTCTTTTTTCAGAAATTTTTAAAAACAGAACTTGCTTGGATGGCCACCCATCAGGGGCGTTTTAGCTGTGGATAGTCCACAACTGACAGGCAGGTGGGTTTGTGATCCCTCCCAGTTCTATGGTGCTACAATTCCACAATTTTATGGTTTCTAGATATGAAGGGGAGTGTGTATTTCCTGCGATTGGCACATATTCTTCAAACAATGGGATTTCCGCACAGACCCGTGCTTCGATAATGAGACTTACAAATTTGCCTTATGTCTCCAGTCTTCTTGGTGCTGACCACTTGAGCTTAGTGTTATTAGCAGGGGGTGGAGAAAACACTTTAACCAGCATCTCCCCATTTGCCTGCAGATGATGAGAAGATCTTGGTGGAACCAGCATGCGGGGCCACCTTGGCCGTGGTCTACGGCGGACTAGTCGAACGGCTGCAAGCGGAGGGCAAGTTGACCCCCCGGCTGGACTCCCTAGTGGTTATTGTGTGCGGCGGTAACAACATCTCCCTGGCGCAGCTGCAAAACCTCAAGGAACAACTGGGCCTGCAGAACCACAGGGACCAAAGAGGGCAGGAGGACTTGACAGAGAGCCAGGTTTCAGTGGCCATGTGGGGCATCGGGGCACAAAGCAAGGCCGGCGGCACGCTGCAGGCTTCGCTCCGAACATGTTGGAAACCGTGCGCTTATTAAAAACTCCTTAGGTGCCCCATTCCCCGTGGTTTCCCTCAGCTATGTATCAGACGTTGAGTGGACCCGTGGCAATATTTCTGGCTGGCTCAGGATTTAATTTCCAGCACCAGATTTAGGAAGGAAAAACTTCCAGTCTTGATTTTATTCTTTTTCCAAACCCCATAGGCTTTCTCCTCCCATCCTCCATGGGTATTAGTTTGCGAGTCTGTTTTTCCTTCTCATGAGGAAACCAGGCATACTTTGCCTACCTTTTTAGGAGTACACCTTTCTGTATGCATTCTAGTGTACATGGGTTTTGCATGCATTTCCCTGTTGACTAAAATGTGTTTGGTGTGTTTTTCAGCTGCATGCATTTTTAGCTGTTTGCATTTATTTAAAATGCACATCTGGACTTGTGCGCCTTGTACTTCTCTGACCACACTTGCAAGTCTCACAAAAATAGCATTTTCAAGGAGAAGTGGGCTTGGTTTCACTACCCAGTCTTGGTTGCTGCTCCAAGAAGACTTTGGGGGGGGGGGGGGGAATTACCGTATTTTTCCGTGTATAAGACTATATTTTTGTCTAAAATCTTTAGACTAAAAATTGAGGGTCGTCTTATACACAGAAGTAAGCTGAGGAGAGAACAAAAACAAGTGGAGGGGAAAGCAGGGATCAAAGCGATCCTGCAGTGCTTTGATCCTTTCCCCCCCTACACTTGCTAAGCCCCACTTAAGATTTCTTAATTTTGGATTAGAAAAGTGGAGGGGTGTCTTACACCTGGGGGTGTCTTATACACAGAAAAGTATGGTAAGGCCAACAAAATACATTTTCCTGGGGTGCCCTTTGGAGGAGCCTCTGAAAGGAAGGCAGTGGCTTCTTCCTAGGCAGCAACATCCCCTCAGGCCCTGGCCCGACTCCCCCCACCAGGGACAGGATGAGACCCCCTTGGGCAGGAAAGAGGGTCAAATGCCCTCTCCTGTTGCCTTTCAGGCTTGCTTAAGAATCGGATTTCTCTGCAACTCTTCTGGATTCTGGTATTCTTTGAATTACTGATAAATTTCTTATTTTTCAGGGAATACTAGGCAGGTGTTTAGATGACAGTGGGGGTTGAGGACTGTAAGCTGCTATTTTGAAAGAATTTGATCACAATTCTGTTTCCCACAGTGGATAAGACACAAAACAAGCTGGTAACCTTTATGGCGTTCCTCCTCATAGTTCACAGTTCACTGTATTTGCATATTGATAAAACTTTTTTTCAATTATCCCACAGACTTATTTGTTGGGGCTTCCCATTTTTCCCTTTTATTATTGGTTCCAGGAGTTTTATTCTTGCTTCTGTTTGCTCAGCAACTTTCCTCCTGACATGACCTTTGATCCTAGCTTCTGGTTTGCCTTCCCCATTCTTGGTTTGTTGTTTTTTGCAAGTTTTTCAATCCTGATTGCCTTCTTGGTCCCGATTTCCTGGTACACCCTTTGCTCTGTCATCTCTTCTGTTCTTTGGTTCTTAGCGCTGGCCCCTTTCAGCTGCCCACGGCCCAAACGTGATCGTTTTTTTTTTCTCCCCACCCCCTCCTCCCCTCGCCTTACAGAGAAACCGCATTTTGGACCAAGTAAAACGTTGCAGTTTTGGATTTCTGAGCAAATTCCTCCAGTTGTACAGGAGAAGTGCAGGGGCTCACCCAGCATAATTACCTCTGCATTCCCCAGATTAGCTCACCCCTTTTGTCATCAACTGACACTTACAGTCTCAATAACTTACTCTGAGACTTTATTAGGAGAAAGAATCAAGGGTTTTCATTTGCTTACAGTGAGCTGATAACAGCAAGCTAACAACATGGCTGGCTGCTTTGAGCAACAGGCCTCAGCAGACTAAATGCTTTCAACAGACCACGGGGAGGGGGGGAGAGACCAGAAAGAAGCAGAGTGGAGGCAGGGGGGAATCAGAGGCAGGGGGGGACAATTGGTTAGTGCTGGATAGATTGACAGTCACTCCAGCCCAGAAACGTCCCTTCTAGCCACACCTACTAAAGGAAGCATGCGAGGTTGGGGGGAAAAACCCTGCAATACAAAACAGAGAAAGGCCAACATGGAACTCACATGCCTCATTTTTCAGCCTCACCACATCCCTAAGGTTGGGGTGGGAAAAAAAAACCTGCAATACATAACAGAGGAAGGCCAACATGGAAGTCATGTGCCTCATTTTTCAGCCTCACCACATCCCTTCCTTTTTACACTTTGAAAGAAATCTGTTTCAAGGACCCTGGAAAGTAAGGGACATTAAATGTGGAATACAGCAAAATTAATCAGTTTCATCCATTCCTTGCCAGATTCCCCCACCCTGAGGTCCTACACGCAAAAGGCAAGATTCCCCACCCAAGCAAGATACTGCATCACTGGGATCCATATGCGACCCTGATCTCAGGCAGGAACTGCCAGGGCCAGGAAAAGGTCTTGCTGGATCACCAACAGCCCCATCCATTCAGGCAGCTGAAACCAAGCAGCTGGAATAAGGCCTAGATGGTTTGGAGGATGAGTTCTGGGTTCAATGATACCTTTACTGGGTCACAAGCAAAGTAAGAAACAAGGCAAGATTCTGTGTTTTCCCATCACACTTCATCAGGCAAAGCTGGTTTAAAGCTAGAGGGTAAATTAGGAACCAAACTGTCCCCTAAACGGAGCCAGAGATTGATGTACAGAAACACTCCAAACCGACAGAAGGTAAGGTGGCATAGATATTTTATTATGACAATCATTGTCTTCAAACAAATTCAGCAACTTTTGATCACACAAGGCAGAGAGACAGACAGAAATTCCTTCATATGACAAACCAGTGGAACCACATAACCTGGTCAAAAGAGGTAGGCTGCATTTCATCCTGCTTTGGGTTCAAAACATGAAGGAGAAGGGGAAGCAAAGAGGCTGCATTTCATCGAGAAGCCATCCTGTTTTGGGCTCAAAACATGAAGGAGAAGGGGAAGCAAAGGGGAGAGAAAGCATCCCTGAAAACTCCACAAAGAATTGTGGGTGGAACTTTTCACAGATGGTATTGAAATGTAACATCTGCACTGTCTGAGACACAAAGTCTAGATCTGGATCTCACACTCTGCCGTGTGCAAACAATATTTGTGTGCTCCCAGGTTGCACCAACAGAGCGACCAGCTTTCAAGAGAGATTTTGCGAATGAACCACAAGAACTTTTTGGCGTGTGGCATGCTCAATGGTGGAACACCTCAGTGTTACCTGTGTCCCCAACACACGGCATCCATCTCATTCACACTCTTACATGTATGCTTGAAATGACTGAGACGAGAGTACATCGACAGCATTTTTTCCCAGATGTACCCAAATGATACTGGGCAGATGGAGCCCGCATACAGAGGCCCCAGGGACATTTTTGCAGCCCATCAGGCCCTCCCCGAGCCCTCTAGTATCCATCAAGTATCCCGCATCTGCTCCTGGAGGTACCTAAGAGTAGCCCTTTTTTAATTTGGGACTTTTGAGGGACCTCCAAGACCACCCCACTGGCCAAAACAGAAATGCATCTTTGGGCATTTCTTTGGTTGGCTTGCTTTTTAAAAAAATAATCACCGTTTTCAACTGAACCCAGGGCTGGCACAGCCCACAGTGGGGCCTGCAAGAGCCGATTTGACCCTTAGGCCCCTGAGATGGTCCACCTTGACTTGAGAAACCAGTGTCATGCTGGAGGAAATGTAGGCAATTAGGCATTTTATGTACAAGGCAGGCATTTTATCCACACCGGGCAGAAGGGCCCTGAAGTCCAAAGAAATACTGGACTGGAGTAGTATGTAAGGTTTAAAAAACAGCCAGCTAGAAACTTCCTGCAGGGCCAGGTAGCAACTCTGCATTCTCCAATGTTATGAATGAGCCGATCCTGTCCCCTGCAGTTCACAACAGGACTCCAATAATAAGAAAAGACAGGAGTATTAACAGAAACACATACACACACACGCAAGAACTCTTCTACTTGAAGATGGCTTGATCTGCAGTTCACAACAGGGCTCCAATAATAAGAAAAGCGAGTAGCAACAGAAACACCACACACACACACACACACACACACACAAGAACTCTTCTACTTGAAGATGGCTTGACAGAATCTAAGACCCACTCATCAGTCACCAAATTACAGATCAGAGCCCTGTCAGACTTTCACCAATTAGCAAAAGGCACTTCTGTGGGGGGAATCTTTTCTTCTCCTGGCCTTTCTCTGAAATGGACCATTTTCCACCAAAGCCTTCAGAACTTGCGTCAGCCTCTGCCTTGGAAGAAAACTGTGCTTTGTGCACTACCATTTCAAGAGTCTGAGTCAAAACACACACAAAAGGAAGCATTTCTTCACTTCTATTAAGCTGTTTCCATTCCCCACAATAGGATCTCAGAAACAGCACCCCAGAAAACAGAACCACCAATTTGGCCCTTGTTGGCCTCCCAATGACCAATCACAAAACAGAACCACCGCCTTGGAAGAAAACTGTGCTTTGTGCACTACCATTTCAAGAGTCTGAGTCAAAACACACACAAAAGGAAGCATTTCTTCACTTCTATTAAGCTGTTTCCATTCCCCACAATAGGATCTCAGAAACAGCACCCCAGAAAACAGAACCACCAATTTGGCCCTTGTTGGCCTCCCAATGACCAATCACAAAACAGAACCACCAATTAGGCCCGCACACACAAAAGGAAGCATTTCTTCACTCCCACTGAGCTGCTTCCCTTCCCCACACTGGGATCTTCTCAGAAACAGCACCCCAGGAAACAGAACCACCAATTAGGCCCTTGTTGGCCTACCAATGACCAATCACAAAACAGAACCACCAATTAGGCCCTTGTTGGCCTACCAATGACCAATCACAAAACAGAGGCATGTTAAACTGCAAAATGCAGGGGTGAGACAGTCAGGGAAAGCACCCCTTTCTCAATCTGCACCAACTATATCGCCTGGTTTGACCCTCCAGCCGATACCTGCCGTTACGTTTATCCCTCCTCGACCTTCCTTATGCAATTTGCCAGTGCAGGAACAGCCAGAAGCTCAAGGGGCTGAAAAAGTGTAATGGTTTGGGGCGACCTCAAGGATTGCAGGAAGCATGGAACAGATCCTGTGGAAAACAAACGGTGCTGGTGGGGATGCTCTTCAGTTGTTTCTAGGATTCCTTGACTTATCCTCCTAGAGTCCTTTAGTTGGTCACTGAGAATTCTATTTTTTTATAGTATGAACAGCTTGGGAATTTTCAGAGTTGCAACAAACTTTGCTTTGGGTTCAGCTAACTTAAAGCCAGTTTAAGCATGCCCTGCCCAAGCATGCCAATCTTGCTACATCTTCCATCTGGCAGGACGTCCTAGTGCTCCCCATTTCCCGGGGGCACCCAAGGAGCTTAAATGCACACGTCAAACACAAGCACTGGAGCTGTGACCACCGACGCGTTCATTGCGGCAGGCAAGAAAACCAGCTCAGGAACTCAGATCTTCCAGGGATACTTCCAGCTGCGCCTCTCGTTTAAGGAAGCAGCAAAAGGAAAAAGCAAGGTCACAAAGGGTCATTCTGTCTCTAAAGTGGAGGGACAGGCAGGGATGAAGGCTCGATCACATCCAAGCAATGACCCTTTGGCCAGGACCGTCCTGTGCTCAAACTAGTTTGAACTTCTACAGAACCGGCATTGCTTACCTGAGTCAAGTGATATTTGCCTTGCTGTTTCTACTGCTGTTACTCTTTTGCATTGAGTGATATAAAGTTTAAAAAAATCAGCACAAGGTGGATTTTGGATGAGATGTTAAGCATTTCCTCCAATATCCAGGTGGGAGGCCAGGACCTTTCATGACAGCTGGTCAGACTACAGGTGTGAAAGCTCACGTGGGGCTCGCTGATTTATGTATTCATTCTATAGCGGGCCCACTCCCAGAAATGTTATTCAGCTACCTGACTGCATTCTGAAATTTCAACAGGATTTTTGTTAAAAAACACATAAAATAAATTCAGAAAGCTAAGGTTCTCAGGGAGTCAAATTCTGTGCACTTTTGTGCCTCTGCGAAAATGCCACACACGAGTAACCTCAGTTATATCCCTTCATTACACACTGCTCTCCCCTTTTCAAAAAGAAACCCTTCATTTATCTTTTTAAAAGGGGAAAGAAAAAACAACAACCCATCACCAGGACTTGCTAAGGGTGAGGTCTGAGTCCAGAACAATGGCATGGCAACAGATGGAAAGGGCGCCTGGCATACAAGTTGGCAGCGACGGGAGAAGTCCAGCCGCGCAAAGCATCACCCCCAGCAGACCTGGACGGGGGAGAATCTCCAAAGGTCAGGATGGCCCATGTGCAGGAGGTTGTGGAAGGGCGAGGAGCTCCACTGGAAAGCCGGCACGTCGTCCCAGGTTGGGCCACTGGCGGCCACAAAACTGTAGTTCTTAGCCATGCCGAAGGAAGTCACCTAGAGAAAGAAGGGACCGAAACATCAGAAGAAAGCCCAGCGCTTCTCCAAAGCTAGTGAAACTTACACGTTCTTCACTCTGCAACTACCAGAACCTTCTACACCAGCCTGATGAGGACAGCAAGGGGGAAGATTCTCAGAGTGGGGACCCAAAAATGTGCTTCCAAACGCTATGTATCATTTAAGAAGATGCCAACCCTCCAGATGCCATCAGAGAAAGAAGAGGCCCAGCATCTGCAGCTGAAAACCCCTTCTCCTCTCAGAGGCCGAGGGCCCTTCACTTTGAAGGCACCACCAGATTCTGCTGTTTTTAGAACCAAACCCGCTCCTAAGAGGGAGAGCTTGTCTCAAGCTTGTTTGCCATTCCTCCCAGGGCAGGTGATCTTCCTTTTGCTCCCAATGGCTCACCTTCATATCGGTACCCCCGTGCGCCCTCTGGCGCAGGGCCCCAAAGGGGTACGTGCCGTTGGCAGGATTAAGGTCTGAGCGAGCGGCGATTGCATTTTCTCCGTTCTGTTTTGGGTCACACGTTGGACAGCGGGACAGGGGATCCCTCAGGAAGTTGTTGAATCTACAAAAGAGGAGGAGGAAGAAGTGAAGGGGGAGGGTGTAACCTAGTAGTGCCCCCCCAAAAAACCCCAAGGGCTTAGGGGGTTGCGACAGCAGACTTTCCTTGCTAGGAGGGGCCACGGTGGAATCACCACGCCCAACTCCCATTGAGCTACACACCTCTGTGCCAGAAACGAGCCAATTGAGTGTCCCAAATCAATGTGCACCCTCCTCGTTCCCTAGCTCAGTGTCAAAAGCAAGGTTGTGTCACATAAAGGAAGCCATTTAGGTTGACTACCCCCAACCTACCGAGAGCAACAATCTCACCTCATGAGCTGGATCATAGAGCCCAGGTCCCGGACAAGAGTCTGATTACGGCGGAAGATCTGAGCCCGTGGGGTTTTTTCGTAGGAGAACCAGTCCCCATACTTCTGCACCAGCTGAGGAAGACCACTGGCGTTGAAGATTTCTTTAAAGTACCTGGTGTGGGTGATCACGGAACAAAGGAGAGGCAATTAGCCTTCAGAGAAAGTACCAAGAAGAGTTGACAACAGATGTCCGAGCCAGCGGAGTTTCAGGCAACGCCTTGAGAACTCTTTTTATGAATTTAGCACGATTACATAGTATGTTGTGAGAATTCAGATAGAATACTAGTTACCTAATCACCACTTGGATTGGCCACAGAAACTCTCTGATCTTATGCTCTAACTCTAAGCAGAAAGGCAGAATGAGGGGTTACCCCGCCCGCTGGGAGCCACTTCTCTCTGCCAGGAGTGTGTGCACTCACTGAAATGAAACACAGCCAACAACCTTGGGCAGAGGTTTCCCACAACCTGGGCACCGAGAAACAGCTATTCAAGCAACAGTGGGAAGGCTGTAGTTCTGGACTTGTGCTACAGAGTCCCAGCTATACACCCAGGGGGTCCCAGGTTCAATCCTGGTGACTCCTGCTTATAGGATCAGGTATCTGATGACGGGAAAGATGCTTTTTTTTCTCCTTGAGAAGCTCTGAAGGTCGGACTAGGTAACATCGAGTCAGACAAATGGCTTCTAAATGTTTAACCTTCCAGATGTTTTGGGCTTCAATTCCAAGAATCCCTTGCTCTTGGCCATGCTGGCTAGGGCTTCTGCCATTAGCCAAACATTAGAAATCGCTGGCTAAATAAGGGGTGGATAATGATGCAAAGAGCTGGTACATTCACTGAAATATTAGGTCAGGGGAAGGGAAGACTGAAACCCCAGGGGGTAGAAAATATAATACTCTTTGTTCCAGTGTAGAATGCCTGATGTGTTTCAGCCTATCCGCCTTCTTCAAGGACTTTGCAACATAAATCAGGGGTGGCCAAACTCGAAGGGGGAGTCTGAGGGTCATTTTTACTGGCTCAGGACCACTATCTTAACTCCTCTCTATCACAATAGACTGGAAGGTCTCTTCCTACTGAATGGGGAGAATGCACTTTAGCCCACAGCGCCCACGTGCCATTAGCCAAACATTAAAAATCACTGGCTAAATCAGGGGTGGATAATGATGCAAAGAGCTGGTACATTCACTGAAATATTAGGTCAGGGGAAGGGAAGACTGAAACCCCAGGGGGTAGAAAATATAATACTCTTTGTTCCAGTGTAGAATGCCTGATGTGTTTCAGCCTATCCGCCTTCTTCAAGGACTTTGCAACATAAATCAGGGGTGGCCAAACTCGAAGGGGGAGTCTGAGGGTCATTTTTACTGGCTCAGGACCACTATCTTAACTCCTCTCTATCACAATAGACTGGAAGGTCTCTTCCTACTGAATGGGGAGAAACACTTTCCACAGTATGACTAGACAAGAAAAAAGAAAAAAAATCCAGGCTAAACTCCTTGTCCTCTGTTAGAGAAGAAAAGAGAAAAAATCCAGGCTAAACTCCTTGTCCTCTGAATCACAGTGGTTTGTGTTCCACAGATATACATCCCGGCTTACACACATACACCCAGACTTTTAAAAAAAGATTTACTGGATAAAACTATTTGACAGAATGCTTGGATCCTGAAGTATTCAGTGCCTATTAAGGATTCAATATTTTTTTAAAAAAACCTTATTGGTAAAAATACCTTAGTTCTCCATTCTGAAAACTTTGTTTAGGCCTTTTCTCCCAGGCAAACCACACTGAGGTGTCTGGAAAGTGTATGTAAGTCAGGTAGAACTTCCAGAATGGGATATCATGGAATTTGTGGTTCACGAAATCTGAAAATCTCATCCCTAGTGCCTATATACCCTCCCCACTGCCGCCTGCTGAGAAGCTGACTTGCAGCAGCTTCCTGATCAGGCTCGAACAATGCAGAAATCAACAAAGCGAATTTGGACTGAATAAGACCCAGCCCTCTGTCGTCAACACTGACCAGCAAGGACTCTCTAGAATTCGGACAGGGGTTCTCTCCACACCTCCAGGAGGAGACATCATTCCTTGTGCATATTGAGAACTGAGCCACAGATATTTTTCAGGCAAAACAGATGTTCCACCACACAGCTAGAGCCTTTTAGCTGAATAAACGGTTGTTTCCCTCGCAATAAGTGCCTCCTGCTGGCATTGGTTAATGTCTTCCATCTGCCTTGTCCTCTCCTTAGATGTTAAAACTTTGTGCCGTAATAGAAATCAACTTGATTTGATTCCAAATGGCTTTTAATATTTTATTGTACTATATTACCGTATTTTTCTATGTATAAGACGACCCAATGTATAAGACGACCCCCACTTTTCCAACCCCAAATAAGAAAATATGATCGCTGCTTTCCTCCTCCACTTCCTAAGCCCCACGAAAGCAGGATCAAAGGGCTGCAGAAGTGGAGGGGGAAAGCAGCGATCTTAGGAAATGGAGGTGTAAAGCAGCAATCAAAGGGCTGCAGGATCAAAAGGCTTCAATCCTGCAGCCCTTTGATCGCTGCTTTCTCCTTCCACTTCCTAAGTATGCATACCCCACTCTGAATCCACTTGCAGGCAAGGAGAAACAGCGCCCGTGGCTTCAGATTTGTGAAGCAGCAGCAGAAGCAGAAACGGAGAGGGTGGGTCCTGGCACGGAGGCGCCTCCAGACCACACTGATGAGCATAGGGTAGACAGTTTTGCTACCGCATAGTTTTCTCCTCGGCTTACTTCCGTGTAAAAGATGACCCTCAATTTTTCTTCCAAAGGTTTTAGGAAAAAGTATCGTCCTTTACACAGAAAAATACGGTATAGTGTTTATATTGTTTTATCTGATGTATGGCCCGCGTACCACGGAATAAACTTATTTTGCTTGCTTGAAGAAAGGCACACATAAAGCTGCTTTATACCAAGTAAAATTATTGGTCCATCTAGTTTAGTAACCAGTACATCAGAAGTGGACACCCTGTGACCCTCTAGAAGTTGTTCTCCACAACTCCCATCAGCAGCAGCCAGCAGTGCTAATGGTGAGGGATCGCCAGAGGAGTTCACCACCCAAAAAGAATAGGAGGGCCTTGACAGCCATGGCTGACAACGACTAGCAGTCGCTCAGCAGAGGTTTTAGCCTCGGAAACACCTGGGATTGAACTTGGCACCTCCAGTATGCAAAGCCACCGAGCTACAGGCATTCCTCAACAAGGCATGGAGGGAGCAAGGGTGACAACAGCCAAGAGCGTCCTTACGGCACATTGTAGCTCGCCCAATAGCCTTCTTTGTACAGCAGCTGGGTCTTGTCATCGGCAAGTATCATCCCCCTGGAAAGGCAGACAGAAAAGCAAATCAACCTGTTCTGGATGGGAACCAAATGAGACACTTGGGACAAAGCGCAGGTTGAAAGGGTTACTTTTTGAACGGCTGTTCTTACGGTCTGTCGAAACCATTCTCATTCTCATCGAGTTTCCAAGGCACGCGAGATATTTCTGGAGTGATATTACCAGCACCCCAGCAAGTTTCCACAGCTGAGCAGGGACCTGAACTCAGGTCTCCCAAGTCCTACTCCATCACTCTAACCACCACGCCACTCTTGCTCTTTTTGACCGATCACTCTCAAATCCTCTGGTCAAGATGGCTGCTTGCCAAGCTGGTCGGGCAATTCCCAAAACACAACGTCTCCCAAGACGTGGATGTGACAAGATGGCAGAAAATAAACCTTGGCTCATTCTGAGCTGGCAGTGGTCCCCTCCAGATGTTCTTGGACTTCAACTCTCAGAAATCCTGGCCAGCAGACGGGGTGGTGAAGGCTTCTGGGAGTTGTAGTCCAAGAACATTTGGAGGCCCACGGTTGGGGACCACTGCTGTGAGGGACACAGGCAAAAACCTGACACAGGATCCACCTGGGCAGGGCGAGGAACCAGCCATTTCCCTCCAAATCATTCCAGCTAGAGATGGGTATGAATCATTTTGGCACCTCCACAGGCGTTCCATGCTTTCCTCTCCTGCCTTCTCTGAGCAATCATCCACTCACTTACACCACCGTGCACTTCCCATCTCTGCATGCAATCACCACTCAGACAAGGAGGCAGGGCAGGGAAATCCATGCTGCTGTCAGTGAGTGGATGATCGCCCAAGGAGGCAGAAGAGGGAAGGGCACTGCTGTTGGTGAATGGGTGACTGCCCGACAGGGTGGGGAGAAGGGCGCACAGTGCCCGTGGAACACCTCTCCAAACCGGGCCGAACCGTGGTTCATGTCCATCTCTCCAACCTTCACAGAGGTCCTTTGGTATATTAAACATTCATACAGCAAAGAGCCCAAGAATGACAGCCATCCTTTTTTTAAAAAAAAGGAATCTAAAACCACTACCAGTATCTTCTAAAGTGATCCTTCCATTTTAGGACAAGAATAAGAGGAAGAGTTTCAATATTTTGAGGCCATATCAAAAGCAGCACAAAGAGACATTATTGCAGAAAACCCTGCAAGGGAGGGTGTAGAATTTTTTTAAAAAAGAACCTGGACCTTGGAAGAAAGAAGGCAACCAGCCAGCTCTGTATGACGAAGAAGAAAAGGGAAAAAGAAAAAGTAGTAGTCATGATAGTAGCTTACAGCACTTACGGAATCTGCTCCAGCACAGTCAACACACCTTCCTGGAGGCTTGCCTTGCCTGGGATAAAGGCTTTATAATCCACAATCATCCACTGATTATTGTATCTGTGCAAGACAAGACAGGCAAAATGTAGCACACGAGACTGCAGAAAATGCAGCACATGAGAAGCATAATTAACTAGAAATATAGAGTCAGCAGCTGGCAGCCCTAGGATGAAATCTGGCCTTCTAGAGATGCACCCTTCTGTTAACATTAAATTCCACAATTCATCCAGTGGCCGTCAGTTTCTTGGGCAGTTTTAACCTCACAGCAACCCCCTATGAGGTAGGCTGGACTCAGACGGGGCTTAGATCAAGGTCAGTGAACCAAGCACCGCGGGCCAGCAGGTGACGTGAAGAAGAATCGAAGCTCAGTTCTCTAGCTCTGACGCTGCCTGCTCCCTGTCCCCACTAGTTGCCCTCCAAACACGTGCCATGACAACTCCCATGGACCACCTATCTATTGGCTGTTGACCAGGGGAACTGCAGTCCACAGGCAAAACATGGCTTCCGTCATGCCGCTGCGATGGCCTCCCACTCACGTGCCACTGTTGTATTTCTGGAAGATGGCCGCCCACTCCGCCCCGCTGGTGGCCAGCCGGTTGGCCACAATGTTCCGCAGCCATTCCAGGACACTGTCTTGGGGCTGGAGGTACTTCCACCGGCTGCTGTCGCTGTTCCCAATTGTGGTTTCAAGAGAGACCTGGAGAGGGAAGAATTTCTGAGTGCCCCCTTTATGATGGAGTATTAGAGAACCAGGTGGAATTAAGGATCCTGCCCATCAGCTGCAGTGGCCCATTGAGGACTGAAATACAATAATGCCCCAATTAGCACTCAGGATGCATTCAAGAAAAAAGGAGTACTAACCGAATGAGCATTTAAACAGGATCACCATCTGTCCAATCTCCTTTGACCTGGGTTCCTGCCTCCAGCAGGGGCTTGGACTCAATGGCCTTCCAACTCCATGAACTCTAGGACCGCTTCAGCTCCACCAAGAATTGGTGGGCTGGGCCTATGTCTCCTGGAGGCATGGTCTACCCAATGCAGAGCACCACAAAACGGACACCCGAGCATTGTGCTGCAGTGAATCATCACTTAAGGGTAGGGTTGCCAGGCGTCAGGCAAAAGGAGGACATGTCCTCCTTTTTAGCCTAGTGTCCTCCAATGTCAGGCTTTTGTATATTTTATGTTATAATTTTGGATGGGAGGGGAAGAGGTGGAAGGTGTTTCTTGGTCGGTTCACTAAGATACATTTATTGGCAGCTATTGTAATAAAATCATATTGATTGAGGGTTTAATTTGGAATGATTCAAATGAAACATTCACTACGTCCTCCCCTGTCCCCTTTTTTGTCTTTGTATGTCCTCCTTTTGGTACCCATGTATCTGGCAACCCTACTTAAGGGGGCAGCAGTATATGAGTATTACTGGTCTATTTTGGGAGATCTATTGTTTCTGGGCATGCCTGGGCACCTGCAGAGTGCATCTTGAATGCATCTGTCCGGATACACCCAGAGTGTCTGACAATATACCTAAATAACAGAAAAATGGGAGGAAAGGGTTATCCTAGGAAAAAGCCATGGAAGGCTGGCTGGCCAGAACTAAGGATGGGATTTTTGTGTTTGTTTTTGGACAACACATCCCATAATTCTGTATTCCAATACAGTGGTGCCTCGCTTGACAACGTTAATTCCTTCCAGCGAAATTGCTGTAGAGCGAAAACATTGTCAAAAGAAATTTTAAAAACCCATTGAAATACATTAAAAACCAGTTAATGCATTCCAATGGGTGAAATACCTAATCGTCCAGTGAAGATCCTATATATGGCAGTCAATTTCGGGTGCCTGTCTTGCGAAAAATGCCTCCTAAAAACAGCAGGGAGCCATTTTGAGCAGCCGGCAGCCATTTTGAAAACCCGACGATCAGCTATTTTGAGCGCCGTAATGCGAAGAATCGGTTCCCGAAGCAGGGAACCGATCGTCACAAACCCAAAAAAAACCCATTAAAACATTGTTTTGCGATCGCAAAAACATCGTCGTGAAGCAGATTTGTCATTATACCGGGTAATTGTTAAGTGGGGCACAACTGTAGTTCTTATCTGCCTTGCAGGCACCTTGCAGACACCTGAATATGATGCATCTGAGAGAACGTCCTAAATGAAAAAGCTTTGAGGTCTAGCTAGGCCTAGCTCTGCCCAAGCTGCCTGCTCAGAAAAAAAAGTTCCCAGCAGGCACTGGGACAGGAAGAGGACGACACTTGGATGGAACTCGGCCTAGCTAAACCTCAAGGCCTTCCTTTCTCCCCAATGAGCCATGTTTAGGCACCTATACGGTTCCTGTAAGTTAAGCAGAACTCACAGAATGGAGAAATATGGAATTTGTGGTCCAGAAAATTTTAAAAAAAACAACACCCTCTATTCCTAGCTAAACGCCAAGCAAGACTTGCGTGCCAGGCCGGTGTTCTACCACCAAGGCACACTCTTCCATTTAGCCACACCCGTAGGGTGGCCTCTGTAGGGAGGAGATGCTCCCCACCCACCCAGGCCCACGTGGAAGGGAAGAAGGAACTGCTTGCCACTCACCAAGCCACTGCTCAAAATGTAGAAGTCATCCCCGGAGAAGATCATGCCAGGATAGGAAGAGAAAGCCTGGGAGTAGCCAGGGATCAAGTGGTCACCTGCAGGACCCAACCACAAGCAGCTGTGGGTCCACAGCAGCCGTCTGCCGAGACCCACCTCCCTCGCTCACCCCACCCCAATCTTGAACAACGGGGTATGGTTTGTGCACCCCACACTCTGCTTCCCCGGCAATGCAGAAGAGAGGTTGAAGTCAGTCCCTGGGACGGCTTCAGTCTTGCAAACCGTGGGAATAAAGCTGGGTCGGCACATACACATTTTCCACACCCCAGCAGACTTCAACCAGTGCCTATCATTCCAGCCTGCCTAGAGGGCACCAGCTAATGGGAGGTTAGCACAGAAACTAAGAGCAGGAACCAGGAGGTCCCAGCCCCACTGTAGCCCTAGATTTGCTGGATGACAACCATGAATGAGGAACTTCTAGCTTGCAGGCCAGATATAAGCCCAGAGAGGAGGTTGTCTCTCTGGCCCTGCAGGTTCTCCTGATGCTGGAGGAGATAAGAGGTGACTTAAAAGCCAGGAAGCTTTTGGACGGTCCCTTCAACCTGCACACTGTTGGGATACAGTCCCCTTTTCACTTTCAAACCCTTCTTAAATTAGAACATTGGCCCCTCAGGTGAAAAATAGTTCCCATCACAGCTTTGGCAAGTATACATTTTTCCAGCCCGTCAATAATTCTTGAATCGCAATAGCAAGAGGAGGACTGACCCTAAAATCACGAATCACAACCCACTCCATTGTTACTCCATTGCTACTCACTCTGGGCTGAAGTCCGGAACGGCAAAGTATACCTCTTGAGGATGCGCAGCATGCTCTGGTAGCCGTTCCATGTGTCGTGCGAGACCAGGAGATCCTGGTTGCCAGGCAACAGTTTGATGAGGGCCGAACACGACCCAGAGCCTAAGACACGTTGGTTGCCGGATTTATTGAAGGCAGATTCAAGGTCTTCCAAATCACCTCCCAACTGGAACAAGCTGGTAGGGACAAAATACATGTGTTGGAAAAAAAAGAGATCCAATTCCTTCCCCACTAGCAAAGTGAGGCCCTTTATGGAACGGGGAGGGGCAACCCCATGCTCTTGGGGGGGTGTTGCACTTGTGCTCCTGCACACAAGCGCAACACACCCACCCTGGGCAGTGGTCCATCTCCGTGGCCCAGTTCTGGCAAGCCCACTGACCAGCACCGGGCCATGGACCAGGGGTTGGGGACCCCTGCTATAAAGCATGGCTCGAGAAACCACACTCCTCTAGAGATTGATGAACTAGTACTTCCATTATCCTCCTTCCCTGGCCGTGGTGGAAGGGGCTGCTGGGGACTGGAGACCCTTCACATATTCCTCGAGCCCTGCTCTAAAGCACTGCAAGATATTATGCCAAGTTTTCCTTACCATTTTATTTCGTATTCTATTGTTTAATAGCAGAAATCTCACCTCCACAAGGGTTAGAAACCAAGAGAGCTTGGGAAAAGTTAGTTTTGGGGACTACAACTACCAGAATCCCCCATACAGCACAGCTAACAATCACACTCGCTGGAGGCTTCTGCCAGTGTAGGTATATCCTTCTATAGATATGCCCATGCAGCCCTTCTCTGTGTTCCTCCTTCTCCTGTCTCATCAGGCTTTAACCCTCACCCTCTTTCTCAACTGTATGAAAAGGTCAGGGACCCCGCAGACAGAAGCAGCAGCTGAGTCACCTATCAAGGAATCAGCCCCCTAGGGCTGCTGCTGCAAGTTTCATCTCTGGCAGTTAAAGGTGCTTGCTGGTGTAATCACCGACAATGGTACCGCAAGCTACAGATATACAGTATTTTAGATAACTAAAATTAGCTAATTAAAACAAAACAAACCTGAGATTTCATTAACACACACACCAACTTCCAGGTATACATATCACAGACTCTGAATTGTGCTGTGGGCATACACAGACACAGTGGCCAGAATCCCTTTCATTTTTGCATAATATAAAGTTAAGCCCTTGGAAGTGTGCCACAGATTACACCCGGGCAACGAGGACCGTGCAATTCAATTATGCAGCTGGCTGCAGACTTCCTCTTGCGAAGGGCCCTGCGACCGCACATGGGTGAACAGCACATCAGCTTGGGTGTGATTAGAGTCACCACTGGCATGACTCTGAATTATGGAGGCATAGCTTACTCAACAAGGGACGTGGTGGCGCTGCGGGCTAAACCACAGAAGCCTTTGTGTGCTGCAGGGTCAGAAGACCAGCAGTCATAAGATTGAATCCACGCGACAGTGTAGCTCCCGTTGCTTATCCCAGCTCCCGCCAACCTAGCAGATCGAAAGCATCTAAAAATGCGAGTAGATCAATAGGGACCACCTCGGTGGGAAGGTAACAGTGTTCCGTGTCTAAGTCGCACTGGCCATGTGACCACGGAAGATTGTCTTCGGACAAACGCTGGCTCTATGGCTTGGAAACGGGGATGAGCACCGCCCCCTAGAGTCGAACACGACTGGACAAAAATTGTCAAGGGAAACCTTTACCTTTACTAGCTTACTCAACAGCATTGCAGTCATAAGCTCTTTGGTTATAAGAGGTTTGCATTGATACCTGCATTTGTGCTCACACAGAAATAAACAGGGCACCACGGGTGGTACCAGCCCTGGTTACATGGGCTTTATAAACACTCTTGGCAGAGTGATCCCAGAGGATGGTACGCTTTTGAACTAAGATGCAATGGGCAGACCAGATAAGTTCTGTGCAGAAAAGGTGTGGGGACCAATTGGTCTTTTGACTCCGGAAGCAACTTGTCTTAGGATGACCCGGAGAGTCTACAATTTTCCCACGCAATCTCAATCTCTAATTCCATTTCTCCCCAAGCACCTTTCCCTGATGGTCCCAACTTTTGCTGATTCCCTGCCTGGCTGCCTGTCCCCACCCTGATTTGGCTGTTTACATCATCTGAGATCCTTAGAATCTCTTACAGGGAAGGGATACATTTCCTTCCGGCGTCTGCAGCTGGCTGCAGCCTCTCTATCTCAGGAGAAATATGTGATGAAATGGCTATGAAGATCCCATTTTTTCTTTTTCTTTTCCCTCTCACGTGTGACTCACAGAAAGCCAAACGGGGCAATGGCAAACTTGCCCACAGGGAAGGACACCTGTCCGTTGTAACCATCCTCAAGTCCCTTCAACTGGAGCAGAGCAAGGCGGACCTGGAAGGAACAGCAGACAAGACAGAGTCACTCACTTAATCAGAGGTTAAAATGGGTAGAAGGAGCCCTCACAAAGGCCCAAATCAGGATATTTTGCTCTTTCCTGTATACTTTCCTCAGGAGATCACGTTGCATGTTATGATGGCTTTGGTGTCTGATACTGCTGTCAACGTACTGTACGTATTTCTTGCATTAATCAATGAAATCAATTACAAAACAGGAAATCAGCTGATGTTTTTTTAGTTCCTCTCCCCCTTAGGATTAGGGGATGCCTAGGTGTAAAACTGAAATTATGCAAGCACTTGGGGGGGGATTCATTTGAAAGTGTGCAGCTTCTCCTATGTGTTGGCACCTTACAACTGCAAAACCCCAGAGTTTAAAGACCTTTTCCCATTCCATCTATGCCTTGTTTCATTGACTGTCATGCCCAAATGGGAGAGCTCGGGAGAATTTGAAAGCCTGCACATGACGCATCAGCAGAAAAGTTAAAAACCACCACCATCAAGCCTTTCTGAGGATAATACGAACCCCAGATAACTTATGTTCTTGCATCAGTTTTAGTATTTTATTTTAAGAACTTTATGTGGGATTCTGGGGGCCAGGTGGAAGGCTATGATTATTCTAAACAAGTAAAGGAAATATTTTGTGACCTCCGCTTTTCACCGTAAAAGATGGATTTTGGAATATTGCATCAGGCCAGCCTTTTTGCATTTTCCCCTTCACTGTACTGCAGCCATGCCTTTTAGCATGGTCGACAAGAGCAGCCCGGCGGAGACTGGCAGGACTGTCCGGATCCACCCAGCTGCTTTTAAATGCTGCGCAAATAAAGGATGTGGGTTGTCCCTCCTTTCTGGAAAGGCCTCCTTTCTCATGGGTCACCCTGAAGTCCCACTGAGAGCCAGGAAAAGATCATTTTTAAGAGGCAGCTCCCATGATCATTCAGCCAACCTTGTTTGCTTGCTATTGACCACATTCTGAGCATTTCAGTCTCCAAAAGTTACTGTTCCAAACACTGAGGTTGCAGGATTCGCTAAATCCAGAGGTGGGGGGCCTTATGCCCAGGTGTTGAGCTCAGCCTTCCTGAGCACCCCATTGGGCTTGCCTGATCGCTCAGGATGGCCATGCTCTCCCAAGGATACCATAGCTTCTTGGCTTCCAGGTATTCCTCTGGCCTTCTTTCCCCCCCCACCAAAAAGTTAAAATGGGTCTCCTAGGGTGCAGGTAGTTCAAGCTAAAAATTGCTGGTACAGTAGTGCCTCACTTAACGAGGATAATCCGTTCCAGCGAAATCGCTGTAGAGCGAAATCCTCGTTAAGCGAAATAAAAAATCCCATTGAAACACATTGAAAACCCGTTCACTGCATTCCAATGAGCTGAAACCTCACCATCCAGTGAAGATCCTCCGTAGGGGCGGCCATTTTTGGTGCCTGTATAGCGAGGAATCCGTCCAAAAACACAGTGGGGAGCCATTTTACACAGCGGGTGGCCATTTTGAAGCCGCTGATCAGCTGTTTTGAAATCATCGTAATGCGAAGAATCGGTTCTCGAAGCAGGGAACTGATTGTCGCAAAGCGGATTTTGCCTATTAAAACATCGTTTTGCAATTGCAAAAGCAATTGCAAAACAGTCATCGTATAGCGGTTTCGTCATTTAACGAAGGAATCGTTAAGCAAGGCACCACTGTGTTTTGAGCCCTCCTCATCACTATATAGCTACCTATGGCTTGAAACCTGCTCCTCACCCTTGACATAGCCTGGATCCGAACTCAAGAAGCTACACACCTGGTACCAGTATTCGGAGCTTTCGCCTGCCTCCATCTGCTGCTCCATCCAGGCCAGGTTAGTCTCAATGTAGTTCTTCAGCTTCTGACAGTAGTCGGTCTGGAATTTGAAGGGCCCACAGTAACCCACCATGGTGTTCATCCAATGCATGTACATCAGCTGGAAAGCACCAAACAGAGGTGGCAGTTAAAAAGAGGCATCTAAGGCTACGTCCTTTGGCAAGAACTCAAGATTTGCCCCATACAGTCATACCAGAGCGTCAAGTTCCAGCCACAACTGGAGACCTGCAACAAAATGTTGCAGCACAACATCTGTTCAGGGTTCCGGATACAAACAAGACAAAATGCTAACCAAACGGCAACAGCAATCGTATGCTTGTTGTCTTTTGTTTGGCCCTTAGTCTGAAATGATGGAAGACAACATAGAAATATTTAAGAAGATGTTTTGTTTTGTTTTGTTTTTTGCAAAATGTTGGCTTCTGGTGGCTTCTGAAAATCAATTGCAATTTTTTATCTAGGCATATGAGTTAGGGTTTCTGGGAGTTGTAGTCCAAAAACATCTGGAGAGACAAGGTTGAGAACCAACAATATAGAATAACCCAAGGCAAACTTTTCAATGTTCCAGTTAACATACAAAACAACTGTTGGTGGTGAGAAGCCAGCCTTCTACACATGTTTAGAGAACTCTCCACATTTCTCAGACCTTCAAGAGTGTCCTCACTAAAGACAGGCTCCTAGGCAGCTGTCCTGCCCCAACCAGGCACCATTCAGAAGTTCTGAACTGCCATTCCCATCTGCTCCAGCCAAGACTCTCCGTAGAGAGTGTCGGCTGGAGGGATCGTGGGAACGAAAGTCCAAAACCGTGGATGACCCACCATGTTGTAAGGCTAATCTGTGCAAGACTCAAGGAAGCCTGAGAAACATGGTGTACATACAGGCTGGCCCCCTCCCACAAGCGCACCCTCCCTCTTCATCCCTGCCTCACCTGCTGAGACACCGTCGCTTCAGCCAGCCCTGCCGCATAGGCCTGGAGGCTATCATTATACTTCTCATTGGTGGTTAGCTCCAGCAAGGCCCACCTAGAAAAGGAAGTTTTTGGGGGGAAGACATCAATGAAGGAACAAGCAGGTCACCTTTCCCTTTTAACCCAATAATAACACCCCCGTGATTAAGTCATGAGATGGACTTCTCTCCACCCCTTGCATCAATTTCAAGCATCTAGTCCTCAGGGTGAGATCTTCTCACCCACTGGCTCCCCCTGCCCCACTGCGTCCAAGTCACTCCGTGGACAGTCCCCCTTCCAAAATTCTCCTTCAAACCTAGACCCATCCTGGAGGTAGCATGTGGCCGCCAGGGCTAGTCATTAGTGACCGTTTCAGGATCATCTTCCACGTGCGTGTTTCTGTAGCGGCAGATTCTAGTGACCATTTCAGGATCATCTTCCACTAATTGCACGTGCGTGTTTCTGCAGCGGCAGATTCAAACTGACAGTTGCAACAACAAAAAAATGCCTCCTCAAGTCAGTTCTAGATGTGCAGGATGGTGAAGGAGCAGCTTATCATTGCCACCTCCCCAGTGAGTTGGTATGGCCAAGCAGGGATTCGAATTCGGGTCTCTTGAGGGCAGTACTCTATCTGCAACACAGCATCAGCTCCTGGTAGCACCTTTAAAACTAACGCATTGATTTCAAAGTGAGGGTTTTAAAAATCATTATGAAAAACCAGAAGTGCTCCCACTCAAGAGTTCTGGTTCCTTGTTACAAACTTCTGTTTGTAATTTTCCTATTTAATTTTTTAATAATAATAATAATTATTATTATTAGGTAAGTCTGCTGCTGCAGAAGTGTCCTGTGGCGCTTTTAAGACCAGCTTTTTTCATACCAGAACTGAATTCTTCCGATGAATTTTTGTTTTGGCTGTTGTTGAAGCAGACTAGCATAGCTAGTCTATGAAATCTGTGATCTTGGAATCTCTCTTCCTTTATACACATAAAGAGAGGCGGTTGCAACATGGTCTGCTCTGTGCTAAAGGTCTTCAAGGGTAAGGAACCCACAGCCTTCTAGATGTTTCAGACTTCTATTCCTGGAAGCCTCCGTCAGCACAGACAAGGACGATGGGATGGGACTTGTAGTCCAAACCATCTGGAGGGTGCCTGGTTCCCTGCCCTGTACTGCATTTCGGCAAACGGGAGAGAAATTTAACACAATTTGGTTTTTTTAAAAAATGTACCGTATTTCACATACATCTTCCTACACCAGTTGGGGGAGAAAAGAGAAGTTGGGGGTCAACAAGCACAAATGGGGGGAAGTGAAACCAATACAGACACTCCCAATATGTCCAGCTGTCTTCTGTCACCAAAATAGTGCTGTTTACTCAGAAGCCATTCCTTCTATGTTTGATGGGCTGATGGCTGTGGGAGCCTTGCACCAGTACACCTGGGGTGCTTGGTGCAGTTCACCTCGGAAGTAAAGCCACTGCCCTTCATTGGGACATTCTTGAAGGCAACCTCATACAGCCTCGTGGGTTGGAGTGCTTGGGTAAGGAAGCAGGGAAGAAGGGCGTCTGATTCTACACCGTGCCTTCCCCAAAGAGGAGCCAGTGAGATCACCCAGAGAGAGGGTGTGGGGATGATGGGCTTACTGAGCCCTGCCACCTCTGTGGCCTTGGGAAAGCCACGTTTCATCTGAGAATATTGCCAGGAGGGACTGGACACCACTTTGGAGCGAGAAACCAACCACAGAATCCACCGTATGCGATCAGCTGGCTGAACAGCTCAGTGACCTGTGTATCTGTCTGTGGAGCCATAAGTTGGGAGTTCGATTCCCCCTCTATGCTTCCTGGGAGAGGAGCCAGCCTGGGTGGCCTTGGGCCAGCTGCACAGTCCCACAGCGCCCCTAGAGGAAGGGAAAGAAATAACCACTTCTGAATATTCTCTTCCTAGAAAACCCTGGAAAACGCTGCCATAGCTTGGAATTGACTTGACCGCACACAATTCTTAAACAAATACAACTTTTCAGCCTGGCAGTGTCTCCCTTTGCCCTGTGGCACCGGCTTGGAACTGAAGTTTGCGGACACCTCTGCGGTGTAGCAGTCAAAAGTGGTGGACTGCCGCTCCCAAGACCTGGATTCGAATCCCCACTCCACCAAGAAGACACATGGTGGGGGGGAAATGGCAAAACCACTCCTTAAGTATCCTCACTTACTTTGAACGCCCTGCTAGGGTTAAAAGAGTTAAGACGGATAGTTAGGGAAGGACTGAAAATAAGAACCTGGAAAGTTGGTGTGGTTATGATTGCCAAGAGTTAAACGGGCTAAGAAATCAATAAATACTGTAGTTGAATATAGTAATACCGTGATTAAAGTGAATCTACATAAGCAAACATAAATGTAATCAACGCAACGTTTATGGAATGAATAATAAAAGACCGTCCATGATTTTCTTTATGTGATTTACCTACAAACCCATAAATATTGTTATATTTGACAGCAGGGATCCCACCGGACAGCGCATCTCCATAACAAGCCGTAAAAAATAAATGCCGTATCCCCCCCTCCCCCGTGAGTGGATCCCGGATCGTAAGGCCAGATCCGGATCGCTCCACGCGCGCGCGCCCCCCGCCTTCCCCCTACCCGGTGTCCCGGATCCCCTCGGTCAGGTTGGCCCAGGCGACGGCGTCGGGCGCCCAGCCCTCGACCACTCTCAGCGGCGGGACCCCCGGCTGGAGCACC